AGTACGCTTAAAGGAACCTTTTCCGAACCCATAAGGGTTTAGGGTTTAGGGTTTAGGGTTTAGGGTTCAGGGGCTAGGGTTTAGGGTTTAGGGCTTAGGGTTTCAAACAAACAGATCCTATGCCCTGATCCTGGATGAACAGGAACCCGGAATAGATATCGACCCTACAAGACAAACCTGCTCCTCGACTGCTCCATGTTCTTCTTCATCGTTGCATACTCCTCGTCCGTGATTTGATGCAGCCTGAGATATACGGGCCTAAGGCAAAGAAAAACTGCTATTGGTTTGCAGAGGGGGTTTTGCCATAATCATAGAAGCGAACTCGGAGAACTAGTATTACCATGTATGACCTGCGCGGCGCAGGTTTGCCAGGCTCTGGACCTATGATGAAACTATTTGAGGCATGGCAAACTCAACCACCGTAAACACATGCAAACCCTAAACCCCTGGACCCCAAACCCCCTACCCCCAATAAACTCCTCACCCCCAACCTTAAACCCTAATCCCAAACCGTATACTACTCGCAATCTGGGCAGCAGGGTTGGAAGCTTCCACAGCTGGGCTACCGGTAGGCTGAGCCCGAAAGACGTCAAGTTGTGGATGCCTCTGAGCGCCGCCCAATCCACATCATCCCAGATGTACACCTAGGTGCGTGCGACGAAACTTGAGTTGAGAATAACCCCTCCCCAGATGTACGTTTGTTTGTTTGCCGTGAAAGGTGTAGGGAGTGTGGGGCTTAGGGAATCCAAATCATCCCAGATGTCTTGTTATAGAATACCATAAATGCCATCACAAAGCAATGAAATGGAAACCCATCTTAAATTGAACCCAAACCCTAAACCCTAAACCCTAAACGGATACAACCCCTCATTACACAATAAAGGGAAGCCCAGGACGCCGGAAGGCAGCCTCCCACTTGCACCACCTCACCAGGGTTTAGGGTTTAGGGTCCCTAAACCCTAAACCCCTGAACCCCTAAACCCCTAAACCCCTAAACCCCCATACCCTACACACCCACACCCTAAACTCTATAGTGCCCTTATAGATCCCTTATAGGAATCCTTCTAGTTCCTTTAAAGGAAGCCCAACACGCTACACCCCGATCAAACCTCCACCTCCACAACCGCTAAACCCTAAACCACACCCTAAGCCCCTAAACCCCTACACCCCTAAACCCTAAAGTACCCTTATACATCCCTTATGGGAACCCTTATAGCTCCTTTAAAGGAACCCCTAGTACCTTACACCCCTATCAAAGCCCCACCTCCGCAACCCTAAACCCTAAACCCTACTAAACCCTACACCCTACACCCTAAGCCCCTAAACCCTGCACCCCCAAACCCCAAACCCCAAACCCCAAACCCCAACCCTAAACCCCTAAACCCCTAAACCCCTGGACCCT